GAGTCATACCCATAGCACCTTGATTCAAGAGTTCAACAACAAAAGGCTCGTGTAACGACAAGAGCGGCATGTGGAATATCGAGAAGTCATATCGATCTAATTCAAGATCCTGGAAATGCCTCCCAAAATTCGTCAGCAGAATCGGTTCTTGATGACTTTTTGGCATTGCTGCATCTTCATTATACTTCAAATCAGAACCTCAACACCGCCGCCAATACCTCCTCCGCACCAACAACCTCCGCAAACTCCCCATCCAAACTCGCCAAATTCACAGCATGCACAGTCTCAGCATCAAACCCGCCCTTCTCATACGTCGCAACCGCGTCGCTCACCAACAGTACACCGTTACCATCTACCCCTCCATCCTTGCCCAGAACCTGCAAGTTAGCCGCCATCCGCACCGTAGTGCTCACGCAGTGATCAGTCGTAAGTCCAACCACCACGAGCTGCCGGATCCCGGCGGACCGCAGCTTCGCCTCAAGGCTAGTGCCGATGAAGGCGCTGTTGAAGTTCTTCGTGAAGACGGGTTCTGAGGGGAGGGGTGCTGCGTAGGGCAGAGGTGCGACGGAGGGGGTTGACGAGCCTTCGAGGTAGTGTGTCGGGTGGAGGGCGGAAGTAGGGGATACGGAGTGGTGGTGGACGTGGAGGATGAGTACTGGCTTTTGCTCTTGGGAGGTCGGGGTCGAAATGATGGTTTCGTTGTACTTGCGTGCGGATGCGAGGAGTGTCTCGACGTTGGATTCGAATGTTGGTGTGCTGCGTGATGAGCCCCAGTGGGTCGGGTGCTTGAAGCCCTCTTGGATATCAATCAGGACGAGCGCCGTAGGTGTGGTCGATGCGTGACGCATGGTGATGGACAAGCTTCGACAGCCGTTGAGTATCGTTTTGACAATTAGAACAATATGACCTGTTATTGATGATTTTCTGGCTGGGATATGACCGTCCCTGGTGATCGATGGGGGTTTATTATGGTAGTTGCTATTTACTATGCTTACAGATCAAATCAATAGACGCCCTTCTCAATTCGGCTAGTCGTTGAAAGGGCGTCCAATGGACTTCAGGGAGTGAGAGAGGGTACTCGATTGCGACAATTTCGGCCCCTTCTTTGGCTGTCATTGGTATCATAGAAAGCAAGAGATGTTACCACACGTCGGGCTGGCCCGCTGCATGGATGTTATCGACAGCAAAGCTGGCGAAAAGTCTCATTGATATGCTACAGCGTGCTGAATAGCGTCGTGAAGAGTTATGCGGGGTAAAGCGAATAACATGCCGTTCCACATATCCGCCAACCTGAGTTCACAATCACAGATTTGGAGAAAAGGTAAAAAGCGAACAAGGACGAACGTATCTCTCACATTCAGCACAAATGTCTCTGGACACACCATAGACACACACGATCAACAACCACAAAATGCAAAAGAGATCATCGCTCCCGAGAGGGAACTACGCTTACATGCCTCGTGGCGGAATCGAACCGCCGATCTTCTCATGTCACTAGGTACTAGTGAGACGCTATACCACTTAGCCAACAAGGCGATGTCTCGAAGGTGCCAGCAGCTAGCTCAAGGACCATTGCGCCGGATCCTCTCCACCAGCCGACGACACCCCACCAACCTAGCGAGAAGGCATGCAAGTTCCACATCGAGAGTGTTCAGTTCTCGAGATGCTCGAGACTCTTCCTTTCTATCGAAGTGGCTCTTCAAACCCTAGCCCCAGACACCAGAAAGCGGAAGTGCATGGCCCGAGGTGAGTTATCAGTCAACATCCTCGTCTCTTAAGAGGGCTTACACAATCCATCGCTCTCCGGTTCTGAGGACCACAGCAGCACCCACCACAACTCATCTTAGCACGGGAAGTCCTTCGTCACACAAATTACATGATGTAGGTCCACGGTAAACAAGTCAAGAAAAAAAGTCCAGGCATCCAATCAAGTCCATCATAAAAGTATACTTTGTATTCGCTGATAATATCAGTCACCCATGCCGAATGGTGAGTGGGGAAGCCAACTCCAACAAACAACCGTCAAGTAGTAGCCTCTCCCAAAAGTCCCGTCTATTCGCTCAAGTAGCCCAGAGTTTGTAACAATCAGGTAAAGGTAGGTAAGCTAAGGCCCCAAAGAAGAATCGAAGTTTCAAACGGTTGTGGTATCTCGTGCGCACTCTGTCCCTCTTTTCCCCCCGCGAAGCAGTTTATGCCTTCTCGGGCTTGGGGACGTTGGGCGCATCCTCAGCGACGTCCGCTGATGGGTGCTTCTTGCCCTTCTTCTTGGACTCCTTATCCTTCTTGATGGCTGCCTCGGCGACGAGCTGCTCGAAGACGAGGTAGTCGCCTTCCTCCTCGGGGGATCTCGCGGCCTGGAACAATATGTTAGCACCATGAACAGAATGGCAACCAGGAGAGAAAATATTACCTTGGAGAAAATGTCACCGATGATGACCAGTGCCTCAGCGCGCTCCAGTCTCTTGGCCAAGGGGATCTTCTTGTCGTTGAGTACGGAGTCGCACACCTCACGCAGCACACTCTGAATCTCAAACTTGGAGCCGCGCCATGCGGCAGTGAGGATCTTGCCTGTGACGCGGCGCTCGTACTCGGCCTTGCGGTCCTCGGACCACTCCTCGCCGCCCTTCTCCTCCATGCGCGCCATCTCTTCAATGGTCTGCTGTGCGTCGATGGCAGAGCTGATGGTGTTCCAAGTCTCCTTCACGATCGTGCCCTTGTCCTTGACGCGGCTGAAGAAACCGCCGATGCCCAGGAACTTCTGACTCCGCAGCAGACCGGTGGCCTTGGCCAAGTACGTCTGGCCGATGGCGTGGAGGATATCCAGACCGAAAGACTCCATCTTCATGTTCTCGACCTCGAGACGAGTCTTTTCTTGGAACGCCTTGGTGACGTCAGCGCCCTTGTCGGTCTCGGTCCACACGCTTATTCTGTCGAGGAGCTTGCGGGCGAGGGTGTCGACACGCTCCTGGCGGACGCGGGCGCGCTCCTTGTCGTAGGCGGCGAGCTGATCGCGCTGCTCCTTGGTCAAGCTACCCTTCTTCTTCTCCTTCTTCCGCAGCGACTCCTCCGACTCGGGCTGGCCTGCGACTTCGTCCGAGGGCCTGTCCATAAGCGCAGGCCGGAGGGGGATCTGAGTGCGCTTTGCGGTACCCGAGGTACCGGACGGGCTCGGTGACGGTGTTCTAGCCTCAGCGGCGTATGGGGGAGGAGGCGCGTTGGCGGTGCCAGCAGCGGCAGAGTCGGCTGCCTTATGAGCCTCCTTCTCATCTTCAACGACGACGGTTGGCGGAGGAGCAGCGGCAGCACCGGCGGCGGCGCCAGCCTTTTCTGCGTCTCCAGCCTTCATGCTCTCTTTCTTGGCCTCCTCAGTGCCAGGGAACTCGCCGTCGGCAGCTTCGGCGCCCTCGGCACCCTCTTCACCCTCCTGCATGGTGATATCCATAGTGGCCGTCAGATCCTTCATCAGGCTAATCTCACCGATCCAGTCGACAAAGGCATCGCCGCCAAAGATGGAGCTGAAGAACTCGGCCGGGTCGGCAAAGCCCTCGGAAGGCTTCGCGCTGTCCTTTCCATACTTGTCGTAGGCTGCTCGGAGGTCCTTGTCGGAGAGGACTTGGTAGGCTTCGCCAATTTCTTGGAACTTTTCGTGGGCGGAGGGATCGTTGGGGTTCTTGTCTGCAGGGCGTTCAAGTCAGCTTCCGTGACGCAGTAGAGTGCAGTAGAAATCAAACAGGTGATTTTACATACCCGGGTGGTGAACGATGGCAAGCTTTCGGTAGGCCTTCTTGATTTCGATGTCTGTGGCGGTGGGCTGAACACCGAGAGTGTCGTAGTATGCGGTGTCGACAACCATGGTCGCAAGGAATGAGGGGTATTAGGTAGAAGGAAATCTAGGTATAGAAACGGCGCAAATGTTTTCTTCGTTGATAAACAAGAGAAAAAGGTTGAGTGAGGGAGCAAGAGGTCCTCTGCAGGAAAGATCGCGGGGTGATGAGGGTAGGGATAGACTTGCGAATCGTGATTCAAGCGAGAATCACAAGGAATCGGACGTAGCGGCGGTCGAATGAACTGGGCGGTGCGGCGTGCCACACCAAAAAGTGACCCAACTGCTGCAAGGTGCCCGCCGATTACCTAGATTTTTGGGTGGATTTACGTTTTCGCGGTGCCCCGCCAGATTACGTCGTTGGGCGAGACCTATGGGCGCTGGGCGGTCACCAACGGTGGGTTTCAGTGAGCATGGTGGTGACTTTTTGGTGAGTAACCATGCACTGCCATGGAACGGCCAGGCTGAATTACGGTACCTACTTCTGAGCCTTACGGCTGGTAAGGTAACCTGCCCTCCCACTGGGTGCTGGCAAGGTGCCATTCTTTCCCTCCCGCCCTTTCCATAGGCTGCATGGACGATGGCGATGTCCACTGCGGCCTTGGAGATTACGCGGACAGGGACCTGCTGGCAGGGATGACGTTGCACGGTCCAGCCCATCTGCCGTTTTCTGTCTGCATCACAAAGAGTCGGTATCCAAAATACAGATTCCCCCTCAATCCAAAACATTTTCATGAAGTGCTTCTTTGGAAGTTTTGGGGGAGAAAAGCATGGCTCGTGTCAGGTTGCTATCCCGGGCTCTACAGCGTCAGCTGTCACATTGCAAGCGACGATAGCTGATAGCTGCATCACGATACTTCCAGGCCTCCAAAGTGATCGACAACAGTCGGCGATCTGCTTCACAAGCTTTCAGAGCTCAAGTCAACCGGACAACGCCGAGATGACTCTTCTCCACCCCGGCTGCACCGACTATCACGCAAAGGACACCGTTCAATCTTCAGCGCCTGCCACCAGCCCGATGGCATCTGGAATCATGCTATGCTCACTGCATCAATCTGGACAGTCTTCAACAACTCAAACTGCAATTTTTCTAGTTCATTCCAGTCTCTCTAAGTCTTGCCAGAGCGGCTGAGTTCCCATATGCGCCAAATCCGATTTGCTTTTTTCCCTCTTCTATTTACACGACACCGTTGGCCTTCATGCGCTCGAAGCATCCCCTGTAGGCGTCGTGAACCTCGGGCACCGTGTAGTTGTACTCCTTGAGCTTCTTCTCCAACTTGGTGGTGTCGAGCTTGCAGTTGCTGCGGCCGGCCTTGATGACCTTGGCCTGCTCCTCGAGCGAGAAGTTCTTCCATGTGAAATCGGGACGGACAATCTCCTTGAAGAGGGAGAGCACCTCGTTGTGAGAAATGGCACCGGGGTTGGTGAAGTTGTAGATGCCAGTGTCCTTGTGCTCGGCCATGAGGATGGAAGCCGGGAGGAGATCGGTGAGAATGGTGTTGGAGTTGGGGATATCAACGACACGGTCGTACTTGGCAATCTTGGTAACAAAGTTGCGGGAGTGGAGGTCGTCGCTGACGGGCATGCGCAGGCGGAGGATGAGGCAGTTCTTGTAGTGCTTCATGATCTGCAGAGTACCCGATTAGTGATTGATCCAGACGCCAGTGACTTGTGATTTAGAACATACCTCCTCGACGTGACCCTTGGTGTCCGAGTAGAAGCTGCCCTTGAAGTTGGCAGGGTCGGTCTCGAGGTAGCCAGCACCGCCAATGGGGTGGGCGTCGTCGTACTGGTAGATGCAGCCGGTGGCGAAGACGGTGCAGTGGATGCCCTTGAGGAAGCAGGCATCGGTGAGGTTCAGGGTGCCGATAACGTTGGATCGCATCGTAGCCTCCTTGTTGTCCTCGCACCAGTCGACATTGGGGCGACCAGTGCAGCCGGCGCAGTTGAGAACGTGGGTAGGCTTGACCTTCTCGAGCTCGGCGAGGACGCCCTCACGGTTCTCCATGCGGACGGTGGTGGTGTAGACCTCCTTGCCCTGTCCCTCAAGAAGGACCTTGAGGTGGTTCGCAACCCAGCCCTCGCCACCCCAGATGAGGAACTTGTTCGCAGAGTGTCCGTTGGTAGCCATTGTGGATGATGGTGGTGTTGTTCGTCTCTTGAGGATTATAGTTTGAATTATCGGAGGGTGGTCGGAGAGGGGTCGGGCGGGACTTTGTCAGGATTCGACTGGCTGCTGGGATGGTGAAAGTTGGTGACGGAGTCGGGTGAGATGTCGATTCGGACGTCTTATATGCTCGAGGCTGGCAAGGGAGAAGACAGCTGGGAGGGTGAGGAAAGAAGAAGAAAAGGACAAATTGAGTAATTTGTAAGACAAGCCACTCGAACAGCAGGGCAAGGGGAGAAAGAGTGTGAGACGGATTATTTATCTGGGGTAAGCGTGGCAGGTACGAGGCCAGGGAGAGGAGGAGGGGAGGACATAAAGTTTGGGTTCAGGTACGAGTCGTACTATCTGCCAATCTGCCACTCTGCCCTTTCAGCTGCGCGCGGTCTCGACCCTCTCGACCCTCCCGTCTTCCGGTATGCTGGTCTCTGTCTGGATACCTACTGCAGAGCAGCAGTAGTAGCACAGCCAGCAATAATTAGTCGCAGCGACTTACATTGGACAGATGGTGTGTTCAATGTGTCGTTCCCACCCCCACCTTCGGGAGGTACCACGGTCAAAGGTGCGACCCCGTAGCGAAACTTACGTACCTCGAGTACGAAGCTTACCAGGAGCTACGTTCCATATTGATAGCTGCTGTTATCGGAGAGAGTATCCGTAGCAGACAGCTATTTTCGTCCTGGCGTCCCCTAGCTTTGTCATGAGCTCTGGTGAAGTGGACTCCGTGGAAGATAGTCACCAGTAGTGGCAGAATATGATTAAGCCGACCATGAAAAATCATAATGTTAGCAAGAGACATAAGGAAAAAGTAGCTACTTAGCTACGTGGTGTCGCAGCAGCTCCAAGACAAGTATCGCGGAAGTGATGCGGTCTAGGATGAAGGAGGCTAGACGGATGAAAAGCCTCCCTTGGGGGATGCAGACAGTGAGACATTGCCGTCCGATGGCTCACCGCATTATGCTCCCTTGGAGGTAATGGCGGTGCCACGGTGGTGGTGGCAATGGCGGGCGGCGGCAGACCAGCGAGGGTCGAATGCCGCGTCGGCCGTGGTGGGGACCAGAAGCCCGGAGCCGCAAAGAGACGTCCATCTCGGAAATCCTCAAGGGTCTTGGCCATGTGCTGCTGCGATGCCACCGTGGGATATCCAGAAAACCAGACGATGGGTTGCGCGCTGATCGGATAGTCGGGCCATGAACATGAAGGGGGAGGCTGAGCCATGGGAACAATTGGACTGATGCCGTGTCGGGGGGCTGACATGCGTGGAATTGCTGCTGCTGCTCTCCACTCACACCTCGATTGGCGTATGCAGCAGAGTCGATAAATCATCTGTTGTCGGCTTTTTCTTCTTTCTTTCGGTGTGTGAAGAGGAGAAACTGCAACAGAAGCAGCAGCAAGGTAGCAATACCAAAGGTGCGAAGAAGATGCCAAGGATAAACGTCGCTAAACAAATGTCATGTGAGTTGAGCCGTTGGTTGCTAACCAGACGAGAAAGAGACGACCCCAACGGAAACTTCGTTCGAAAAAGGCAGGAAGGCAGACCCTGAAATAATGAATTCCTTCCACTCCCAGCATGGAAGGAACCGCCCTCCGTGCCCCGCACCTGCTGAAATTCGAGAATGAGAAGCAAACGACCCGGAAGGCAGGGACCTGCCCCGCCATCACCTGCCACCTGCCAATCAGATCTATTCGTCCATCCCATTGGCTCGCCTAGCTTTAGCCGAACTGGCTCGGTCAGTGCGTTCCTGACACCAATTTCAGTGACTGACACGCTGAAGCGGGCAGCGTTCAGCGGATAAGGCACCACACACAGGCGGGGCATCACTGTAAGAGGCGCTATCTGGCCGCCTTCTGGCTGTCAGTAGACCACCCCACAGCGCTGAGGCCAAGCCTTAGATGCCCTAGAGGCTTACCTAATGACCTCTACGTACCTCGAAATGAGGTGAGTGTGACGGGAAAACGGTCCCAGGTTGCATTTTCCATGGCAATTTGGAGAAAAGGAGCTGGGGTCAGCTGCACTAACGTCCTTTCCCCCGTTTTGGCGCCTTCCTGCCCGGATGAATTGGTCACTTTTTTGGACTTTTGATTTGATGACAGCGGAGAACTTCTTTCCCTCCTATTCTTCCGCGGTCTTGTTGTTGAATCCCCGTCTGCCGTTCATCCAAGGTCAACAATCCAGTTTGCTTGTCGACTCTTCTCCAAGCAACAGCCCGTGTCCTCCTTGCTATAAAACGCACGCGAATTTTGAGGTCATTGACTGGAACGTGAGCAAAAAAAGCAGAAGCTGAGACCACCTGCCAACGACTGCGCGCGCAAACCTTCAATCCGCAGCCCACGACGAACCCGCACATAGCCAGCTACCTTGGTCAACTCCACGAACTCTACGAGGACTGACTGACTTAACTTTGCTGCCACCTACGAGACTCGACTTCGTTCTTCCGTCGTCAACTCCTTAAGCCTCTGCGCTACTGTCCGATTCTACTGTGCAATCCGCCGTCCGCCGCGACGACAGACCGCCATCATGGGTGTCATTTACTACCTCCTTCACCCCAACCAGCTTCGCTCCATCATCCAATGGTACGCCGCCTGACTCCCTCTCACCGAGCACGCGCGCCCAGACCGCTTTGCTGCTTCTCTACCTCACATCTGCTGATACACTTCTAGGAAGGTCTGGCACGACCCCGTCCACCACCGCGATCCCTCAAAGGAAGACCCTACGCTGAAGTCGTGCTTCGAATTCCTCAACAAGACGAGCCGTAGTTTCTCCGCCGTCATCCAGGAGCTCAACCCCGAACTTCTGGTTCCCGTTTGCCTGTTCTACCTTGTGCTGCGCGGCCTCGACACCATCGAAGATGATATGACATTGGATATCAAGGAGAAGGAGCCTCTGCTGCGCCAGTTTGACAAGTACATGGAGACGGATGGCTGGACTTTCACCAAGAACGGTCCTAACGAGAAGGACCGCGAGCTCCTGGTGCACTTTGACGATGTCGTAACTGAGCTGAAGAAGATCAAGAAGCCCTACTACGAGATCATCAAGGATATCACGATCAAGATGGGTAACGGCATGGCCGACTACGCTCTCAACGCCGAGCACAACGAGAACGGTGTTGCGACCATCAAGGAGTACGAGCTTTACTGCCACTACGTCGCCGGTCTCGTCGGTGACGGCCTGACCCGCCTCTTCGTCGAGGGCAACATGGCCAACCCCAAGCTTCTCGAGCGCCCCGCGCTCACCGAGTCCATGGGACAGTTCCTCCAAAAGACCAACATCATTCGCGACGTCCACGAGGACTATCTCGACAAGCGCCGTTTCTGGCCCAAGGAGATCTGGAGCAAGCACGTCGACACCTGGGACGATCTCTTCAAGCCCGAGAACCTGCCCAAGGCTCTCGAGTGCAGCTCCGAGATGGTTCTGAATGCTCTCAAGCACACTGAGGAGTGCCTGTTCTACATGGCTGGTATCAAGGATCAGAGTGTCTTCAACTTCGTCGCTATCCCCCAGAGCATGGCTATTGCGACGTTGGAGCTCGTCTTCCGTAACCCTGCCATCTTCAGCAGCCACATCAAGATTACCAAGGGCGACGCATGCTACCTCATGACCAAGTCAACACAGAACCTCCAAATTGTGTGTGAGGTTTTCAGAGACTACACCCGTCGGATACACAAGAAGAACGACCCGCGCGACCCCAACTACGTGCAGATTAGCGTGCAGTGCGGCAAGGTATGTGGTGGTGTTTCTTTATCTTTATCTAAAGACACATTTGTCTCGCGTCAGAAAGTCAATTGCTAACGGTTGACCCTCCAGATTGAGCAATTCATCGACTCTCTGTTCCCGAGACAGGACCCCAAGCTGCTCGGAGATGCGGCGAAACAGAAAGAGCGGGGCCAACCGGGTATGGATGCAGGCGAGGCCTTCGTATTGGGCGGCATGGTTCTGTTGACCCTCTTTTTCGTATCTGGTCTTATGGTGAGTAGCTCCGAAATTTTCTTCTTCATTTCCCTCTCGTTCCTCCAACATCAACCTTCACCCTCTGCTCTTCTACCCTCAACTCTCAACTGATCACCACCCTCAGATTGGAACTGCCTGGTTCTTTGGTGCACGCTTCGACTCGTTGTGGAAGACGGATAGCATTTACTGGCCTGGCAGCGAGACCGGCGCGGCGACGCCGATCGAGCACAAGGAGCTGTAACTCTACCAGACAGACAAGAACAAAAGTTGTTCTTTGACTGCTACGCTGCATCTGACTGTTGACGGTACATATTGACGAGGAGTTTTCGGTTGCTCGCCGCCGGCATGGCTACGAAATATTGAGGAGCCCATACTAATCTTGCTAATACACACCATCCTCGTGATGGGTTTTTCGCGACGCATCTGGTCTTGTTGCTTTCATATCGATCGTCTGTCCGACATGATTTACACAGTGACATCCACTATCCCTCCTCAAACCAAGCACGGATGTCAAATTGCAATTCAGTCCCATCGCAAGGTGGTCATGACTGTGGTTGTGCCGAAGAAGTGCTGATATCAAAACCCACCGGCAAAGACCCCGTCCATCACGCGGCGGGTACGGGGCGGGCGTGTCTTCCATTGTTCTCGGGACGCGCTCTTTTGCTCCGGCTTGCAAACATTCTTTGACCATGTTCCACTGTTTCACGTGTTTCTTCTTGTGACTGCGACAGGCCCTGTAATAGCCATAAGGCTGGGTCAACTGAAAGCTTACTCGTCTCGTCTGGCCCCGGGGCCTACGGCGAAGAGGTGACAGGCGCTGTCACGGCATCAAGTAGATGAGCCTGTCGCCAAGACCGACATGACCTGTCTCTTCAGTACTTTTCTGGAGGAACTTGTCTCGATTTTGAAGTCCATGGAAGAGCCAAAGCGACGACCGATGTATTCAAATCATCCCGCGGCCGGGGAACCGTTGTAATAAGAAGACACAAAAATTCATAATCCAAGTCATCGTCCCAAAGCCCCCAACTCCAGTCAATTGGTCACCAACGCAATGCAGAAATCACTTGGCCTGCTTGACTTGGCCTCTTGTCGAACATGGACTTGCAGGTCGCGTATAATCAGATGAAGCACGCAGCGCCGCGGTGCCTCTATATGTACCTAATCCATTGAACCCATGGAGACGCCTAGGCTTACCAGGTTGCTGCTCAGTATGCTCTTCTGTCTTCAGGCCCGCCACCAAAGTCTTCCGTCCGGTCTTCCTTTCGTATCGTTGCAGGAGACAGCAGTGCGCAGTTGCAAGCGAAGAAGATGCGGCTCTTGGAAGACGTCTCGGCGTTTATGCGCAAGGCCCGAACCCGGTTTCCCAGGTACTTACGTGATGTACACACACAGGCATACCGGGACCGTATTATGTGTTTTTAACCTTTTCCGCCTTCTCCCCGACACGGCGACACCTGGGTCAAGTCTGGGGAATACATGAAACGTGAAGATCCAGCTTCAGCCTTTTCAGCCCTGCTTCGCTCCCACGCCGGCCATCCCTCCCTTTCTCTCGGCTCGGGTCAGAGACGAGAGGCCGGAAGCCCACGAAGCCACGTGAGTTGCGCGGACCACCTTGGCCTTATCCTCCGTTGTCTTCCCTCTCTCTCTCTCTGCGACTCTCTCGCTCGCTCTCATCCGCTGCGCGCGGGTGGCGTGCGGCGGGGCACGGCGCGCGCGAGAACGGGAGACCCGGGATGGCCGTTGCTGGTACCCCCTTCGACGCCAAGACCCGAGGTCTCCGTTTTGCATAGCGGTGTCAGCGCCAGATTGATGGGGAACGTTCAAGGAGAATTGGGAGAGGCGGAAGGACAACGGGACGTTTCGGACCGGTTAATAAGAGACAAGCGATTCTTGGTATCGCTGAATCATGCTTCAGCCAAGGCTGAGGCTGGATCTAGCTGCCTTCCAGGCTTCAAGTGTACTGTTTATCTATGTTTTGTCATGGTGTGGACATCTCCATCACCATAGTCTGGCCAAGACATCTGTATATATCTGGTATTTGCCAACACTATAGCATTATTTGTACATGCCCTGCTCTTGGCTCGTCCTTCTTGTAAAGATGTGTTTGCGAGAGCGGTCGATCACCACGCCAATGGCAAGTATCTGTCTGGGACGTAGATGGCTTCAAATATGTGACGACGAATGAATGCAGGCACCCTCTTCTACAGCACAGTAATTCCCATTCTCTCTCGTTCTCGTATTGGACTTTTCACAGGTCGTCGGATCTCGCATCTCCCCTTCCCTTTCCCACCCTGGTCCCGAACACCCATCTTCGAAACGTGACCGTAGAACAATGGGCTCCCGGCGTACTGCTGAAGAAAGTCATCCCCTTTCCTACTCCGTTTCTCCGTTTCCCTTACTTTTTTTCCCCCTTCGGACGCCGGACCACAAACGAGCAAGGACGCATCTCTAATTTGTTGCTTCTGTGCGTGTGTGTTGGAGACGAGATGAATCCGCCCGCGTGCGATGGTTGTAGGACTGTACGTCGGTCCTTTGAGCTGACCACATGCTTTTCCCGCGCATCTTACCTCATCTCACAGCCATCAGAGATAAACATGTGTAAGTGGTATTGAATGGGTGCCTCTGACGCACTCGCACCTCCATCCCATCTCCTTCCATCCTCGCCAACTCTATTCAGTTTCCCCCAACACCCAAAAAAGAAGGTTAAGAAGGAAGGGGAGGGAGGGAGGGAAAAAGAATCCCCCCATGGAACCTAGTTTCGGAACCCGTCATCCGCGCAGATGCCAACGCACCATCTTACTGAGAACGAATCGGGAAAGACATCATGTCCGTCCCATAATGTGCGACATCAATCTTCCATCTTTCGCCTCCACGGCCCTCGGATAACGGATAACGGCACGCGGTGAAGCACCTCAGTCTTCGGGAAGCACCGTGTAGAGAGGAAACAACACATAGCAGATGCGAGAGGGAAGGCACTACGCCAAGTTCATCCCATTCCTCGTATACCTTAATCTCCAAAACGCGAGAAACACAAACCTTCACGCACACCACCCTCCACCACGACAATTCTCGCCCATGATTCTTGTCCGTCTTTAGGTAGTCCATCCTTTCCGTCCTTTCCTTCCCTCCTCGGGGAGTTGCGAATGTTCTTCTCCCACCAAACTTCCCCAACTGTCCGGAATATGTCATGGCGTCATTCGCGTTTTGGGTTTTCTACCGGTCCTTTTGTCGTAAGGATCAGGCCGAACGACGCACCTCCTCATATCACCTACCTGTGGAAGTCTAAAGTTGACGTTGACTCTGTTTGCGTTCACTGGAAAGGAGCCCGCAAGGAAGCCGCTGAGTCCGTATGTAGAGTTGGGGAAGAGACAATTGTAGCTTGATCAATCACCTAAAATCGTCAGATGTAGTAGGTTGCGCAGAGAAGGTTTCCTGCTTGTTGACGTGTAATCTATTCGATGAGATACACAACTGCCATCGCCTTCCTCCTTCGACGTCACCTAGGTTATGTGGATATCGAGGTCAGGTGACGTGATGATAGCGCTGAAGGCCGTTGTCATTCACCAGGGGCAGATGATACCATCAGAGCTAGCATAGGGTGTGCGTGTCGAAGGGCTATCGTCGCTGGACACGTTGATACACTCACTTACTCACAAGGCAAAGGCAGTATCAAGTCAAGTCGCAAGGCAGAGTAATTTGTTTGAACGTGAAAGTGAATAGTCCGTAGCTGTCTGCTCTCATTACCAAGATCTCATTTCGAGAATCTCTGTCTTAAATACAATGTGATTTTTTGGTCTCAAACGAAACCAGAAAAATGTTCAAGAAAACAGGTTTTAGAGAAAAAAGCGAAAAGGAAAGAAAAGAGTTGTAAGAAAACCCAAGACAGAACGAATTTTCGAGTCCTGATGAAGTGGTACGAGGGAACCAGCCCGTCGAGGGTTTTTCTACTCTTTTGGGGTCTTTTTTCTTTTGAGCCTGTTTTTTGTCCTTGAAATGCGGGTTTGAAGACCCTCTCTTTCTTGCTTTGTGTGTCTTCTCTCTCTCTCCTTTTACATACAATTGAAACCATCCGACAGACACCCGGAAACCCCAGGTATCCCATCTTGGATGGTGAAGGCTTGTGCTTTGCTTGCTGGTCCAGGCCGCGCGCCAATGCAGTGATGTGTGCGAATGACTGGGTATCCTCTAAAATGCCGTGAATTTGTGTTCATCTCCCCCTCGAATATAAAAACACATGGGGGAGAATCACTTATTAAACCAAGGAAAACGTGTCGAAAAAGTCAACGTGTCGCCATCATGCCTTTTGAGGTTTCCAATGAAAGAAACGCTAAAAGAATCCACCAACGCGGAACACATTGGGGCATTTACCATCAGGGCAGAACTTCTAGAGCTGTCCGTTGTTGGCAATCAGGTTGGTGGTGCCAGCAGTGTTGCGCTGGACAGTGGCACCAGAGGCGGTGGCGAGAGCGAGCATGCGGTCGGTAACAGCCTTGACGGTGTTGAGGCCCTCAAGACCCATCAGGTAGGCGGCAAGGCCAGCAACGTGAGGGGAGGCCATGGAGGTACCGGACAGGGTGTTGGTGGCGGTATCGGAGGTGATGCCGACAGAGAGAATGTTGACGCCGGGGGCGAAGATGTCGACGACAGTGCCGAAGTTGGAGAAGGAGGCCTTGCGGTCGTTGCGGGCATCAATGGCACCGACAGTGATGGCGTTGGGGGCGGAAGCGGGCGAGGTGTTGGCAGCATCCTGGTTCTCGTTTCCGGCAGCGACGACGGGGACGATGCCAGCGTTGTTGAGAGCCTGGATAGCGCGATTGACAGCAGCGGAGGCAGAGCCACCAAGAGACATGTTCATGACAGCCTTGCCAGTGAGGTTCTTCTTGGCGACGTCGTCAATGACTTTTGGTGATGTTAGCTTCGGAAATTTGCATAGGTTAAACTGTGGGGCTGTTGAAACTTACCGAACTGCATGCCATCGAGAACACCAGAGTTGGAGCCAGCACCATCGCCATCAAGAACCTTGACGCCAATGAGGTTGACATTCTTGGCAACGCCGAAAGTCTGACCACCAATGGTACCAGCAACGTGGGAGCCGTGTCCGTTCTCATCAGTGTCCTGGTATTTTTCATTAGCCTCTCATCTTACTCACTCACTCTTGAGACGATTCCTGGTACTTACGACGTTGTTGATGAAGTTGGCGCCAAAGGTAGCACGGCCCTGGAACTCGGAGTGGGTGGTAAGGATACCGGTGTCGACGATGTAGGCAGTGATACCGTCACCTCCTGTCTGGTCGAAGACGTAGCCAGCCTCACCGGCAGCGGCGTGAGACATGCGGACAAGGCCGGGGGGAGCGTTGGTCTGGGAGACGGTGGCGGAGATCTTGACCTTGGCATCCTGCTCGACGTAGGCGACCTCCTCGGCGTTCATAACGCTCATGATCATGGAGTCATCAGCCTCCATAACGGTGGCGCGCCACGCGTTCATCTTGAAGTTGCGGGTAGAGGTGCTGAGGGAGCGGCCGTCAAGGGAACGCTTGCCAATGTTGCGCTTCTTGATGGAGGCAGCGAACGAGGACATCTTGGAGGTAATGGCATCATCGTCAAAGGTGTTGTTGTAGACGACAATGTACTTGTTGGGAATCAGGTCGGCGGCGTTGAGGTTAGAGATGGGAACGCCCATGAAGGAGCCAGAGTCGTTGGTGGAAGCGCCGCTGTTGCTGAGGCCGAAAGGAGCGGCGAGAGCGGCGGGCAGCACGGCTGCGATGAGAGCGGTAGCGCGAACCATGTTGGGCGGTTAATTCGAGGGGGTTTGGTGGTGTATGTAGATACGGTGAGGTTGTTGATATTTAAATAAAGAGAGGATACGGGAGAGAACTAGCTCGTCGTCGTCGAAGAGGTCGTAAAAAAAAAGTACTGATGAAGAAAAAAGTGCCGAGACCGCTGGTCTACTTTTCTAATTTGTGGCGGTGGTTGACGAGGAAAGAACGAGGTCTTGTCGTCGGGGTTGGGAGGTTCGGCACGGAAGGTGCGAGCGAGAGAGTGACTCGATGAGGTTGGGAAGGCGCGAATGAGTGCGAGCGAGAAATGCTGAGAGAAGGAGCAACCAAGAAGGATTCGGATACCAGTCACGACACAAAGCCCTTGTTTACTTTTTTCTCAAATCTTTTCCAATGCGATAAAAAGCTGCCGTTACCAAGTTAAAACAAGGTGTAATAAAAGAGTAGTCGAAGAAGCGGAAAGAGGAGGCGGTAGGTTGTTTTGGTATTTAGCTAACCGGCCACACGGAGGAACGTGAGGATGAGGATAGACTAAAAGAAGAGATTTATGGAGGATGGGAAAGAATAGAGAGAGAGACGGAGCAAGAAGAAGTAAGAGACGGAAGGCCAAGCACAGCTGGGCAAGATGGAGAGGTTGTGGACAGTAACTTAAGTATAACGACGGACGATGAAAAAAGAAGGGGACAGGAGGAAGCAGGGAGTACGGATATTGGGACTAGGTGGTAGGAGTAGGAGTAGGAGTACCCAGGAGTAGGGGGATAAGGTAAGGTACATACAAGGAGGGAAGATGACCGGGGGTGTCAGCGGTACATGAATCCAGGTACCTGCTCTCAGCATCCGTACCTTGTAGCCTGTCCGTACGCAGTCCCTGGCCCAGGTTTGTCACTTGTGCGTGTCTCCATGTGCGTGTGTGCTTGCTTGGTGTGCTTTGGTGCTCGACCTTGACCTTGACCTTGACCTGGGGCCCTGAGGTGTGGTCTTTGGGTCCTGGAGGGGTGTGTGGCGTGTGTGAGTGGACCACGCGAGGATGTACCTTTGTGACATTGTCTGGATGGATGGATGGATGGATGCTGCAGAGAGAGACTGGACAAGGACAAGAGAACGAACGACGGACGAGGTACTGGCCCCGAGGTGTCTGTATTCGGTAGCGAGAACATCCGTACAATATGTTATTCTCTATGCTGTCTCACTCTCACTGCCTCATTGCAGGATCGTGAGGTGAGAGAGAAAAGATGCAAAAGAGACAGGCCGAGACTGAGGCCAGACGGGGCAGAGAGACAGTGCTCAGCACAAGTGAATAACGTCAAGGTACCTGATGAATACGGCATCTCGAATTCTGCACAAAAAAAAAAAGTGGACGGGCCTTCGAGGCTCTGGGCAACATCTGCGGCAGAACAAGGAGTAGAAGCCGAGAAAGGGACGAGAAAAGACGGGACAATTAGACGACGGCGAAGACTTGGATCCAGTGACCAGCGGGAATTGGGAGAGGCGACGGGAGAGAAATGGTGACGGACGGGGAAGACGGGGGGACAGCAAGGAGGGAGAAAAGGTACGTATCGGCCAAGGTGGGCTGGACCTAGGACCTGGAGACGACCTGGAGACTCTGCCCAGCGCCCAGCGCTCCAGCGCACACTGCCCAGCGGTGCTGCCGCCAGCCTGCGAAGCCTGCGCGTGTCTGAGGAAAAGGGGATACGTACCGAGATATCCGTGCACCGAGGGCTTGGCTCCCATTTGGGGTTGATGCGAAAAGCCGCGACTTTTTGGCAATATCGGTGCCGGTGCCACGCCGCCCAGCCTGTGCATGGCATTACGCTACATACTACGCGATAGAGTGAGCATGGGGAGGTGGAAGACGAGCAGCAGCATGGCGTGGCGGCAGTTTGGCATTGTGCACACTCTGTGGCAGACACGTCGACTCCTGCTTCTTACGACTCCGTTTCCGTATCACCACTGCTGCGAGGTAACCTAACCCTCATCCTCCGTATGCCAGAGACTGTAGTAGGCGAAGAGAGCAAAAAAGGAAGTCAGGAGGTTCAGACCGATTACCCACACATTTTACTCTCGGGAGGAAAGTCCCAGGGCCGCTCTTGGCACTAGTCTCAATCAAGGCTTGTGCTTCACCTTTTTCTGGTCGTCGGAAGGGGACTGACGACCGGGGTGGGTTGCTTGTGGACTTGTGGAGAAAGTCGACTGACTGATGCTTCTCCCCGAATTGTACGCAGTATGGGCCATGCCATGTTATTGTTTTTCCAATATTGATCTTTTTTTTTTCTGCTTTGTTCCATCGTTGGTATCCACGGTAAATCGCCGCCGGGCGGAAGAAAGTATGAAAACACCACACTGTTGTACGTAGGTGACGTACGAATTCAAACAATGAAGGGCATGCGCGTCCCGGGGTGGAGGGACCGCACTAAGGCAAGGTACAGAATACCACACGGCGGCAGTCGGCGGGATGGATGGATAGATCCAATGGTGGATGGATGGATGGATGGCGTTGGCGTTGTTGGCTGTTGGCTTCGACTCACGTACGGCGGCACGCCACAGTTCGATTGGGTGGTGATTGAGATTTACCACATCCCCCCAGGTACACAGTTACACAGGTAGGCACACAGGGTCCATTCCCGGGGCGCCGTCGCAAGACTTGCGGCACCCGACTGCCAACCGTTCCAGCCATCGGCGAGAACTGGGAAATTTGTGGCATATTTCCTGGTAGTGCTCCATGGTCAATGGCGCTGAAGGTTCTGGACCTACCCAGTTGGGTGTTGTCTCACTCCCTTAACCGCAGGGTAATCAAAAAGAGACGCCACAAGAGCGGCAGAGGCGCCGTTTTTCAAGGGAACGGCGTCCGCTGCAAACCGCCGCCTCTCCGTTCACCTGCGCCTCTTCTCTCTCTGTGCCTCACTGCCCCGCGGTCTCTTGGGCGGCCAGACGGTGCTGTCAGTGTCTGTGACTGACGGAAGAAGACTGTTGAATCTGGCTCGCTGACCACCCGATCCCATCCATCCATCGCGGCGAACCAACAATGGGAGAAAAGGTCGGATTGTGTGTGCAGATGTACGGCGTGTGTGTGAGAGAGATGGGCTCATGCCATATGGTTGGCTCTCCCCGTCTCTCGGATCATGAAGGTCTCAGTGCCAGCACAAACCTGTGACAATGCGCATCGTTGCTTCTTCTGATTCTATTAGGTTCTTTCCCACGCTTTGCGTTCGTCTGTCTCAACCCAAAATTTTCTCATGTCGTATACCTACCTATTTGCCTCCTTCCTCCACCGGGTGGTTCTGGTTCTTCAATTTTCCATCGTCGTGGCTAGGTTATCAAGGCAGGAACAAGAGACATTCAGTGGGGGCGCCTACCTTACCCCGTAAGGTAGGTACCTGCCCTCTGTCTCTCCTTTCTTCCCTCCCCTGGGAAAACTGGCAGGTGTCCAACCCAGGATCACAGTACGTACCCCCAATTAAACGGTACGTGCCCTCTCGCTCGTCACGGAGACTAACCTCGCAATGGGGAAAGCGTCAAGCCGTAGCTGTTCCCCTTTTGGGCGCTGCGGCAGCCAAGCGCGCTTCTCGTTGGCCGTGCCAAGTCAAACAAGGCCGCCCCTCTTATTATTCACCCCCTTGGTCCTGCCCATCCTGGATTGGTAGGCCCTGGCAAAAGTCGATCCTCCCCCTCCAGGGCTCCGTCATCCTTTCTTCTCCCCTCCACTAGCGCCGGTTTCGACCCTGTCATTTCGACTAAATCTGTAACGTCCAAGTTCAGCGCCTCATCGCAGAAAAAAGGAAAGAGGGCTCCGTTGTCAGCTTCCTCATCGTCGTTGTTGTCCTCCATGGTCGAGCTTCACCTTGGAAAAGGCTCCAGTGCTCCACAGAATGGTCCACGTCGGCTGCCCACGTTGCCCAGTCTCAGTCGCCGTCTCTTCGGAGTTTTACCGTCGAGGTTGCTGTAACCGTACCTTATCTCAGCAACCATCTGTGTCTTGCAGCCCTTTTCTCGCCTTTTCCTTGCTTGTTGCTATCCGCGAGTCGCCGTTTGCTTGTCCCAGTATCAAGTTGCACGCACTCTCTGGCAGTCTGTCTGGACTCGAATAATCAGCCGGGCTTGTCCCGTCACCTCTCTGGACCGCAACCATCCCGGTCTGGCTCTAGTCCGCAAAGCCCCCTTACCTCAGCTTTGCTGCCAGGCTAGGGTAGGTGGCCTTGAAGCTGTCAAGTCAAGCACCATGTCAGGCCTCGCGAACTGACGGTACTTTGTCCGTATGGACCTGTGGCAAGGTGTCTGTCAGTCCCTCGACCCTGAACCTGCCTGCTTGCTCAGCAGTCAAGTTAGACCGCTGAGCAGTTCAGATTCTCGACCTAGACCCTCCCTCTTGTGAATCGTATGCCCCCTACATAGTATCGCCCGAGTCGATGCCCTCATCAAACAGTCTTCGGCTTCTTGGCCTTGTCTCCGTCAGCGCTCTCGTGAGTCTCGTCGAGACTCTCCTCGTCAGCAGATGTCTTGACTCTACGCTGTACCTCTGGGCATGCGTCGTCCATATCCCCTCCTTTCTCCTCATATTGTACAAACTTCAGAGTCTCTGATATACAAATCTCCAAACTTGTGCAACCCTCATAATCGTACTCTCCCAAGTTCCACCCCGGGCCATGCTTGTAAACCCATGGATGCAGCCATCATGTACAGATACGCTTTGCATCTGCAGCCTTCACTTTGTCGACCCGTCATCCAGTCCTCTTCTCCTGCCCCTACTGTACCTCTTCCCACCCCCTCGAGCTTCATCATGTCTCTTATTCGTGAGGTCCCCCGTCATCGACTGGTCCAGTTTGTACCCACTCATCCCGGGGGGGGGGGGGGGGGCTGAAGCTTTTCTAATCTCGTCAACCATCGTGACGATGTCGCCGCCGTCACTACCGACTGCCGTGTGCCGTCCCCTCTTTCTTGGCATCCCTGACCTCCCATGTGTTTTTCTCTTGCTGTCCCTCTCATCCGTACACGAGCAACGGTACGACTGAGC